ATATTTTCATGAGGTGAAAGATGGAATGTTCCATTCAACGAGGCGACAGCCGAGTTGAATGGAACATTCCATCTTTCACCGAATGAAAATATTCTTACCATTGCACGAAGAAACATTCATTATTTGTTTTATATAATGCCAAAAGTCCAGAACAGACTAATAGATTCGTATGAGAAGCATTTTGAGGGATGCGATTTATCGAAAACACAAAGAGTGCAATTGTACTATACGTTTTATTCCATTGCACTCGCGGAGAGTGCAATGGAACGTGTTCCATTGCACTCTTGGGAAATGGAATTTTCTATTCAATATCACGTGACCATAAACAGCCAATTAAATGATTAGAATTTAATAAGGTATTATATAATACAAAATATCGAATGCCTTACCTGTTGAACAATACAGATAAGACTGTGCGCCAACGGTAGAGGGAAGTTAGATGGGTCCGTTTCACGAAAGCATGCGTGTATTAGCGAGAGGCCAAGATTTTCACAAAAATATACAATATAATACAAAAGAATGTCTGATATTTCTCCCTCCTGCAAGACAAAAAGAAAGAACGACATTAAATCATACCTTTCACCCCTATAGTTAATATTCTTCACGTTTGTGAGAGCATAAAATAGAACAAAAATAACTAAGCATTAGGATTATTTACCCCAATTTTTAAACATGCGGATAATTCTAATACTTAATGAACCAATCCCATATTAATCAAAATTTTGAACTCGACAAGTCTAGACAAAAACTTCATCACAGCTTGAAAGAGCATTACAAAATTAGTCATATTCCAAAGTTTCGTTGCGAAATGTTGTAAAATGCGGATAATATAACTCTGCGAAATTTGCAATTTTCAGTCATTTTGTATTACAAACGGGAAATGGTTACCACTTCCGTGCGTAATACAAACTGACTGAAAATTACAAACTTCGCAAGGCTATATTATCCGCAATTTACAACATTTCGCAACGAAACTTTGGAATATTACTAATTTTGTGATGCTCTTTCATGCTATGAAGGAATTTTGTCTAGACTTATTGAGATCAAAATTTTTGTTAATTGGGGATTGGTCCATTACCTTTGTTTTTTTCTCTGCTTCAGAAACTCAGACTAAATGCATGCGAAGTTAGCGAAAAATTTGTTACTATAGCTAGCCTTTAAGGTTACACAAAGTGAGATTATGTCCAGTTATACAAACATACGTTTATATCACAATATTTGCTTGTCAACTTTTTGTCCAATCGGATTTGTGCCTAGATGAAATTGGAAAGAATGAAAATACGAAATAAGGAGACAAAAAATCTTTAACATCCGATCGGGACATTGACCCTTACTTACCGCAGCATAAATCTTGTGAACTTTATACAACGGAAAATTGATCTGCAACACTTTAACAATGGACAGAAATATTTTCATTGCTTCATCATCCGTCCAGTTCTCATCCCCTGTTTCAGGGTTCTCGTCTTGGGTGCTCTGTTCGCCTTTCTTCGCTTGCTTGCTCTTGTGGTTCCTGACTCGTTTCTTGAGATATTCTAGAGCGACGTCAATCAGGAGCTTCACATCTTCTCGCAATTCGACAAGATATGGGTTTTCTTTGAAAATACATTTGCATTGTCTATGAAAGAAACAAGTTAAATATAGAAATCAAGGCTTTCATATATCTTTTTGAAGCAAGTGGCTGTGGTAAGAAAGTGGCAGTGGCGTACGAAAAGGACTGCCCTTGTGAAAAGCTGAAATCCGGGCAGAAATGGGGACGTGTGAATAATGATTCCCATCTCTTTTGTTTATTAATACAAGTTGCAGTGTTCCCTATCTACAATCCGAACAGTAAAAATGCCTATGGTGGTTGAAAGTACATTTGAACTTGAATTTACGCACATAGCAGCAGTCAAAGTTCATGAAGTTCATTCTTTTTATTACAATATAATTTCCACTTCAAAAACGAAGACATCGTGCTATTTTGTTGTTGTATTTGTGTGTAACAGTACAATGTTGTACAAAAATATTTTTTCGATCTAACGGCATTAGGCGATTTAAAAATATAATGGCTTTTTGTGGTTGTAACTTTTCTTTGAACCTCGACCTAAAATACGTGAAAGAGCGTTGTAATGAATCTAAAAATTCAAAATTTTCCAGGGGGAGCATGCCCCCAGACCCCCCACCCCTAGATTCCTTGCGCCTTTGCCGCTCGCACCTTAAATGCCAGAAAAATTTTGGCCCCCAAAGTAGTCGGCTGTCCTCAATGCAGGAACATTTTTACTACGTCTAAATAATTTATGACAGTATATATTAAAATTCAAGGACTAAATACTGATGAAAAGGGGTTAGATAGAAATCAGTAAAATCTAACATTTAATTTTTCAAAACGCAATTTTAAATGAGTTTCAAACAGCTTTGTCAGATATGAACATGCAAAATCAATTCAACAAAATGTCCGTTTTGAATGTCACACAATTTAAGAAAATATCCAAAAACTAAAGCAAGAACAAATTAAGGTCTTTCAAGTACTTCTTTACAAATTCAAGGACATTCAAGGCCTTGATTGTGCCTCATGACACCCACTGGAGCTCTCGCGGCTTATTTTCAAAGCCCTGAGAAACTGTTCAACGTGAGTATAGATATACTACCGGGTGGCCCAAAAAAAAGTACTCCTGTTTGATTCGTAATAACATCTAAACAAGTATAGTTTTTAAAGAGAAATAACTTGCATCAAATAGAGGAAGGACTAACTTAGACTTTGATATATTACAGTTGTATTTCACTTAAAAATTCACGGAGATATTAATCTTTAAATTCGGGAGGATATTTCTGGATGTGTCTGAAATATGCAAAATCGGCGTATCAAATATTAATCAAGATTTGCCCGACTGAAACATGCACTATTACCAGTAAATAAATGACACTTGACAAATTGTTTATTATGAAACAAAGTATTATTATATCTACAAAATACAAGCAAGATTCATTCGTCCGAAATTCGCGTGTGTTCCTAGCACGAATACGTTTCCTTATTTCATGAGACCACTGCATCGCGAAGGATCGTCATTGGATCGTTCGTAGTTCTGAATTAGGGCATGCTGTCACAACGGAATTGTGAAGCTCTTCTAACTTCTGCAACGTTCTGAAATCTTGTTAAGAACACCCAAACTCTTTTGCCGTTTCTTAATCTTGGCAAGTTCATGGAGTAAACTGAGAATTATATGAAACACAATCAAACCATACAACTCCATAAGACATAACAATTAAGCAACTCCCCAGAGACATGCAACATTTTTGGAACAAAACGTAACAAAATAGTAGCGTTGATACGGTGATGTGTATTTGCAAAAAGCAATATTATTTCCTTCAATAAAGAATATTCATCCTGCTCTAACCGAGAAATAATCTACTCAGTCTGTTTGAACCCATTAAAAACATAAAAAAATTAGGCTATTTAAGAATACGAAAAATTTAAGCGCCTGCCTTCCATGGTCAGTCTTTCATGTACATTTAAGTTTGCAAAGACCTAATATATTAAATACTTGCATAATTTCGAACGTTCATATTTCAGGAAACAATGAGCTAAGACTTACATGTAAGATGTCTAAATCTACGCCATATCCCTTACAAACCTTAACGATAATTCGCTGAAATACAAGTTAGCCTAATATGTCATTAAGCAAACAAACGCTGGAGTTCAGTAATATTTGATATGCCGATTTTCGCTAATTTTAGACACATTCCAAAATATGCTCCCCATTTTTAACATTAATATCTCCGTGAATTTTTAAGTTAAATACAACTGTAATATATCAAAATCTAAGTTAGTCCTTCCTCTATTTAATGCAAGTTATTTCTCTTTAAAAACTTTACTTGTTTAGAAGTTATTACGAATCAAACAGGAGTACTTTTTTTTGGGCCACCCGGTATTGTATACTGATGCCGAGGAGCGGAATTAATTCAGTATTATAAGGCTGTGTTACACGAAATATTTTCAATAACGATTCACAACGCAACGGTTTGCCGAACCAATGAAATTCCGTGTAACCTTATTTGCACTGCGAATCATTATCGAAAGTCAGCCACGTCGCGATTAATGCCCACGGCGGCCAAATTAAACAAATCCATTCAATAAATTATTGCAAAAACACATGTCGCGTATTATCTATATAAAGACGGGATTTGATCACTTTTATGATTAAGAAGAGTTTTTTACAGAGTCAATCGTTAGAGTATACTAATTGTCATGATTTCAAACGTATAGCACTATAGGCGTTGTGTATAGAACACGTAAAAATCTCTGCTGTTGTTTCTTGTTGTCTTTTTGTACTTACAACTTTTTAATTTTAATTGCTTTTTTCAATTTTAATTTCGCGTCCGATCTTTATCTGCATGATATACAAACTCTCGCCTTCGGCTCGTGTTTGTATGTCAGATAAAGATCAGCTGCTCATGTTTTAACTAATACTATATCTGATTACCTGTGCTACAATTTATCATCTGAGTTTGTTAAAAGAACTAACATTATATAGTTGAGAAATTACAAGGAACTCTCAGCCTGTGCCTGAGGACACACAGAGGACTTTTCACTACCGTGTTGTTTCCTTATGGAATGGTTTGGGTACTAAGAATGTAAGCTAAAACTTAGCAAGAGGTTCTCAAACGAAACTTTAGGAACACAATTTTAACTGTACTGTGCTGCTACCCTCTTTCAAGAAAATTGTAAAAATAATAACAGCATTCTGTTATGTCCATGCCTAAAGCCATGTGGGCGTTCAATCATTCATTTATTTTTGTCATTGTTGATTTGTTGTACAATGTTATTGTATTAATTGCATCCTGTAGTCGCGTTCCGGGGGCCGCTTGTACTGAAAAAAGTATATCTAAATATAGTTAGTGCAAAAGTCAACCAATAAGAATCGCATATTTTGGCGTTAACTACAATTTAACTGCGAAGCCAGCAGTAAAAAAGTAGTTAATCTTGAAGTGCCAGTGTAGGGAATGT